GGAAGGAAGGAAGGAAGGAAGGAAGGAAGGAAGGAAGGAAGGAAGGAGGATATAGTTGTTAATGAACACCTATGTGGTAAACTAGTTTCATTCATCCTATTCCCCCAAGGAAGAAGCTAGCTTTCATATGTCTGGATGTTTGCTATATAGCTCAACAAGCAGCCAGCTTCAGCTTCATTAATGAGTTATTAAGTTTAGGAGTCTTCAAACATGGCTGCTCCCCTTCCCCCTTGTGTGTTGCTTTTGTACAAACATTGTCTCCCTCAAAGCATAATAAAAACTCTGATCAAGTGAATCCTGAAGCTTTTTGTGCAAGAACTTACACCATTCTGTCAGACTCCCTGATAAAAGATCTGAATAGCTAATGTCCTTTTTAATGCTTCCATTTGATTTTCTGTTTCTTTCTTTTTCTGTTTCAAGGATTTCAGGCAAACGAATAAAGGGAATTTTTCTACTTCCTCCTCCTCTACTCTTCTCCTTCATGCAAAATTATGCAAAACTTGGAGCCTTTCTTTAGTTGCACTGTTGAAGTCCTTAAGAAGACTGGAAAAGGGACCTTGTAAAGGCTGCCAAACACAGCAATCTTTCTCAACTTCACCACCTGCCTTGGAATGGATATTGGAGCAAACTGGAAACTTTGACTGAAAAGCAACCATTCAGGAGGAAGAGAACCATGGTTGGTTCCTTTCAGAAGTCTACCAAGCAGTTCTCCCCTTCAGTTTCATCCCTGTGAAGGGTCCTTCCCATGCCTCTGTAGGATTTCAGCATAGAGCCAGTCTCCAAGCCAGCAAAGCCAGGGAGTTTGGTGACAGCAACCCTCTACTTCCATGGGTCTTTAGGCTGAAGGATTTGTGTTTCAAGGGGTCTTTGGCAATGACTGGGAAGAGCGGGGGATCTTTGTGCATGGAGCAACTCTCCTTCTGCCTATTCTTGAGTATCTGCTCTGGCTGGTGGTATCAGCCAGCCAACTCAGCTAAACCAAAAGGCCAAGGGCACCCACACATGAACTCCATCCGCCTTGATGGTGATATCACCTTAGGGGGCCTGTTTCCTGTCCATGGGAGAGGCTCAGAAGGCAAGGCCTGTGGGGAGCTGAAAAAAGAGAAGGGGATTCACCGCCTAGAGGCTATGTTGTTTGCTCTGGACCGAATCAACAATGACCCAGACTTACTCCCAAACATTACCTTGGGAGCCCGCATCCTGGACACCTGCTCTCGAGATACCCATGCCTTGGAGCAGTCACTCACTTTTGTCCAGGCCTTAATTGAGAAGGACAGTACTGAGGTGCGCTGTATCAATGGGGGCCCACCCATCATCACCAAGCCAGAACGCGTGGTTGGGGTGATTGGAGCATCAGGCAGCTCTGTCTCTATTATGGTGGCCAACATCTTGCGCCTCTTCAAGGTAAGCTTGTGGCAGCCTCCCACCTCTTCTTCCCACCCCAGCTCCCCTCCTGCTCGAACTGCACAGTAGAATTTGCAATTCAATGCTTCCCTTCCTAGCAGCTACAGCTGCTAAAATAGCTGCCAGTGACTGCTAAGTGGGACCCCCCCTCAAATAAAAATGTTAAAGTGGTTTAACAATAATTATACAGGCTGTGTTCTTGCTCCCTGGGGGAGAAGGGGAGGGGAAGGAAAATTCTCTGCATGTCGCCATGGGTATTTAAAGAACTCCTTGTCTCCCATCAGGAGTCTGACCCCTTCCTTCCATCCTTCCCTCCCAGTTGTATCTTCTACTTGTGTGAAGGAAATCTGGTGAGTTTTTTCTGATGCAGTGGGGTGGGCGTTCCTCAGTGTGGAGAGGGTTGTGGAGGAATTATATGGTTTGTTTTACAGCTGAGAGGAATATTCATGCTGTGTGAATCCCAGAAGATGCTGTGGGAGGGTGAGGGGGTGGGGAGAATGAGAGATTTGCTCCACCAAAGCATTTATAAACCAGCATGAGGGGGAAGACCCTTTTCTAGTACACACAGTAATTTCCAACCCTGGGGGCTGCTCTAGTTTGCTCTAAGGACTGGTGAGAGACAGCCCCTTGGCCTGATCTGCTTTCAATGTTTGACGATCCTGAAGAATACTCTCATAACGTGTCTTCCAAAATCCCTGGCTATAGGAGTAGCAAGTAGTATATTGCCTTAAATACACAAGTGATCATATACGCAATACAAGAGTTAAAAGATCACAGCGCCATACACTCTTCTTAAAAGAATGTTCAAAGCAGATTTGCAAAACATACCATGTTCTTTCTGGGGAAAGAGAGTAAATATAACAAAAATGTTCTTGGAATGTCAGAGAATAGCTTCATTTCTTCCTCTGAAACCGAGTCACAACTCAGGATAGTACACCTGGCTTCACTGGTGTGTGATTTTCAAATTCCAAGATAAGCCAGTGATTTCAGCCTCTAGCTGAACTGAGAGAAGCATTTGGCTGCCTTTAGATTAAAGATCGTAAGTAGCTGTCCACACGTGGGCAGTGGCTATATTAAGAAGAATGCACATTCTACGAAAAAGTTTAACCTTTTCAGTTTTCCAAAATTCTGTATCAGGCTAGATTGAAAGCAGGAAATTTTTGACAGCAGAGTCCAAACCTAGGGTCAAGGTATTGTGACCACAAGGTCTGCAAAACAGATAGACCCTGTCTCTAAGTCGAGATTTGCAATCAGAGATCTGGTCAGTGGTGGGTGTTTCAGCTATTTTTGGGAAAACAGTAGCAAAATGGCTGAGCTCCATTTCTAAAGACCAGCTGAAAAGCTGATCTGATCAATTTATGCCAAATTGTGGGTATTACCTAGTGGTTGGATGGAATGGACCCCTCACTGTAAAATCCCTCTTCAGAAAGTAGAAAATCATTGTCAACAACACAAACACTTCTATACATCTCAACAGCCAAAGCCCTTTGGATGGTTTATAGATGAAACCTTAAGATACAATATAAAACATAATCTAAAACTTTTTCTTTCAAACATCAACAATAACTTTCACAGGATTGGTGAAAAGCCTGATCACATTCTGTCAGATGCTTGGGAGCAGAGAAAAGTTTTAAACTGGTGCTAAAAGGATGGCAACATTTGTGCCAGGCTATAGAGAGGGGTCCCAGTTCTAGCGGGCTACAATTTGCTCAGCTAAATTTGTCCACTTAAAGCACTTGACCTTCAACTGACAATGATAACTCTAGGAGAATCCCCAAACTACGAATCTTTTCCTTTATGGGGAGTACAACCCCATCCAAAACATGCTAAGCACTGTCCCCTTGGTGAGAAGGGTCACTCAAGAACAGCATCGTAATCTTGTCTAGCTTGAGCTTCATTTTATTACCTGTCATCCAGGTATTGCTGTGTGTCGCAGTCCCTTTACACAGCCAGGCACCAGTCCAGCACATCCACAGCCTCACCTGAAGACAATGGAAAGGACAAACGGAGCTGCCTGTTGTCTGCATACTGATGACCAGGCACCCAAAACTCTTGCTAAGACCATTCAACTGTTTCTGGTTGATATAAATGGTATGCAGGACAGAACTGTCCCCTCCCGAACCACATACTGGAGGATCCACATGACTGAGCAGTATTCCCCAAGTTCCATCATCCTCTGAGGCTGGCCATCCAAGTAGCATTGCATTACACTGCAGTGTAATAGCTTTCACTCTCAGCTGAGATAACTGCCCTAGAATCTGTGTTTGATGGCACTGAAAGCTGCCAAAATATCAACAAGAATGAACTCTCCCTGTCATTGAAAGCCATTGGATTCTCATTGGTTTGGCTACCTGGACTCTGGTCTGCATTCTCATGATTGTGAGACTGACTTGGCACTGTCAGTCAGCTGTCAGTCTTGTGGAATTAAGCCCACAAGAAGACTGCACAAGCAGCATCCCTCTTCCATGAATGTGGCTTGTGGCCTTTGTTTGTGCTGCAGAGAGGAAGTCTGCGAATGCTTGTGGAGCAAGGGTTGCACAACTGACAAACTTCTTCCAAAACAAAGGCTGCTGCACATGACACTGAAGGGGGTGCTGCCTGTGAAGCACTTGTGTGGAGCCTGATTCCTGGTGACTGTGAACTTTGGGCACACTCACCAGCAACTTGGACTCACAGCTGAAGGAAAGTGGACCCAAGTCTGGGTAGCTGAGCACAGGAACTCTGATGGATTCCCACCTCCAAAACAGATTCCTCCCACATCCCTCGTGTACATGCACACACAGGAACAAACTCAAGGATAGCTGTGCTGATCCATAAGGGGAAAAAAGACTAAGCCTAAAATCCACAGTTGGGCAATACCTTTACTGGGACCAACCCAAATTCTTCAAAAGTGTGCAAACTTTCAAGTTCTCCATTGGTTGCAATGTCAGGTTTGACTGTGGGTTTTGGTACAATCTTCCATTTATGAAAGGATGTGGGAATAGCTCTTATTCTCATCAGGGGATAATTACCTGAGCAAAGGGGTGACTGCAACTGGATTCCTTCTTACAGCTGCTGTCCTCCAGCGTTGCACCTCATCTGTCCTGCAGCTGCCATGCTGCTCCCTCTCAAATTTGCTGTGGCAGCTCCACGAAACAACAGCTGCTCTTGACCTGAGCTTGGGTTAGCAAACTTCCCTAAGTTTGCATGGTCAAACTATTATGCATACTGAAGCTTGGTTGACTTTTGGAATCCACGCTTCTTTGAGTTTTGTGAGAGTCCTCTCGCAAAGCAATGCCCGTGTCAGTGGAATAACATTCAGTAATGCAGGAGGATTTTTTAAATGGGAGTATATTAACCTCCTTACCCTTGCACTGTAGGTCCAGTAGAAATCAGAGCTCCTTTAGGCTTCTGTTGGTTTTGTTTTGTTTCATTTTAAGTAAGAGCGAGAATTCCACAGCTCATTGCAATTATTGCTGTTGAGGATGGTGATCTCACAGTCCTGGTAGTGTTTGAGTTTTTCCATATTTATATTTGGATACTAAAATATTCAATAACAACAGTGATTCGGGTGGTTTGTGAGTTAAAAAAAAAAGCACAACAAAAATGAAATCCAGAACAGATTTGTAAAACCATAATTTAATCATAGACAGAAAATGACATCAGTGCAACAGATCTAAACACACACACAAGTATCAAATCTAGGAAAATCAAAAGGTCTTCACCTGAATGGGATACATGAGGGCCTACAGAGAATTCCTGCTGTCACAGAAAACTTCCTATCAGGTATATAATGTCTCAAACCTGGTGGTCCAACTGGACTATGAGAAGCTCAATGAACTTAAGAGCTAAAAAACAGGTCCAGAAAACTTTGAAGTAGATTGTGTGTGTGTAAGAACCCTGTAGTAACACTTTTGTGAAATGGTTCCAGACAGATTTTCAGGTGCTTTATTGATCTTTCCAAATGCTTTCCTGCAGCTGCAAAGGTTGGAAACTGCCACTTTCCCTTCTAGACGGAGTGCACTTTTGTGCAGGGTGTGGTGGTGGTTCTAAGGACAACGCAGGCGACTGCCAATGATTTTTCTCCTCTGCCAGGTTCCAACAATAGGCATCTTGATCAATTTCTATGCTATGCAGTATAATTCTCTTGTTGAATGACTGTTTCAAAGTTATCATTTTAATTAACATTGTTGTTTATGTATTCTGAGGATTGCCGACAAAGATGTATTAAAACATTTGCATTTCTATTCACAGTGTTAATTCTGATATGAAAATGAGGCATAGAATGCAAGCATTCTTGGTTACTAACTGAGTGATTGTATGCACATCTTCTACAAAGTAAGATTCACTGATATAATGTGAACTTGCAGCCTGGCTCAGGAAAGGCCAGGAAGGGGTCTCCCTTTTGTCATGTAGTTTGGGGAGTTATCAGAAATTATGGCTTCAAAGATGCCTGAGATAACTGTAAGGATGGGTTAATGACCAACATCTGGAGAGATGGTCCAGCAGATGGGTTGGGAGATGGGCCATCACTCCATGGGTCAGCTTACCAGTGGTGGTTAGTGGGGATAAAGGCTGGGGAACCGAGAGACTCTTTGTTCCTCTTTCGGGGTTTCATACCGCTGCCTGTGTTGAAGAACACTGTGAAGCTCTGTGTATTGTGCCTAGTCTGAAGGTAGAGTCTTTGTGTGTAGCTAAGGCTAGGGTTAGCTTTGTTATCTTCTTGACTGAGTGGGCCAACAAAGCCATAACCTGCACTTTGCTGCTCCCCCCCCCTTCCCCATTTCCCTCTATTTTAATCCTTTTAGTCTACATGGTTTTAATACCCTCCACCCCAATGTTTTGTCCTTTTAAATAAATTTCTTTGTTCCCCAAGCCTTAGCTGTTGTCTGCTAAATCCAGTTATCTGTCCAGGTAGACTGGGACTAGGGAGTTTCTGGGTGGGATTTTGCCCAGTTGGCCAGGGGAATGGGGAATCACGGGTGGCTTTCGTACAGAAAGTTCAGTGAGACTCCCAGTCC